TTTATTTTCTCCCTCCAGGCCATGGACTCCACCCACCAGCTGCTCAGATTCGAGGGCTTCCACAGTTCGACTGCTGGTCTTTCGCCCAATCATTCGTCTAAGTTTTTTTTCCATTTTTCTTAATAATTTGGGCGGGTGGGCTAGCCTGTCTAAGGATGGCAGCGGTTCGGGTTCGGATCGGATGGAACCTCAGGGCACCCAAAACCAAAACCCAAACTTAAAAACCAAAACCAAAACCAAAACTGTTTCGGGTGAAAATCCTTCATCAAAACCAAAACACGCGGATACCCAAAAACCAAACGGATACCCAAAAAACCAAAAATATTATAATAAAACACCAAAGACAACAACATAAAACATGATAACTTAGAGAGTACCAGGCAACCAGTCACAAATTAGCAAGTACCAACGTACAGTACAAGCCATAAAGGTAGTAGAGTACATAGCTAAGCCAAGCCATCACGGGAGACGGGGAGAGGATAAGAGGGAGAGGAAATTTCCACTTATATAGCTAGGGTTTTTGGTGGGCTTTTTGATGGGCCGTCTATTTTAGGCACTCAACGGAGCACCACGGGCGAAATATAGGATCCGCACCAAAACCGAAGACTTTCGGATACGCGAAACCGCAAAACTGTGGGTGAAATTTGAGAACCAAAACCGAAAACCGCAGAACCAAAAACCGCGGATATCCGAACCGAAACCGAACCGCTGCCATCCCTAAGCCTGTCGGCCCGCGGAGGGGGTGGGTCAGCCTGGCCTTATGTATATCGCCTCGTCCCGCCAAACAGTGGGTTTTGGCGGGTTATGGGTCGACCCGTCTTGTCAACTTGTTTTGACATGTCTATCGTTAATGTTCGAAAATAATTTTTTTATATAATTTAATATAAATGAACGACGTTAACTCAATAAAACATCTTTTACTTTAACAACCAAATCATGATTTTATTGAGTGATTTCATACAACACAAACAAATCTAACTCCAACACCAACAAATGTAACTCGCATTCTTCAATTCAGAAATTGAAAATATCTAGGAGTGCACAAAGTTCGGTTAACCGAGTCAAACTGACCGGAACCGAAAATTTAGTTTGGACCGAAACCGAAACCGATTATTTGGTTCGGTTTTCGGTTTATATTTTTCTAAAATTTCGGTTTTCGGTTCGGTTTGGATAATTTTGATCGGTTAACCGAACCGAACCGAAAACCGATTTATTAAATATATATACATGTTTTTTATTTATACATATAAGTTATAAAAGCATTAATTTGCTTCAATGATTGATGATTTTCAAGCTTCATTGACCCATAAAATTGCTCAAACATTAATTTGCACTCAAATTTGGCTTCATCATAGTCCAAGTCACGGTTCGGGTACGAAATCTTCCTTTGAGCATAATTTAGAATTTATTGAGAATATTAAATAAGGTAATAAAAAATTATTATTATATTTTTGTAAGGATAAAACATCAAATTTTTTATTCGGTTAAAAATTCAAAATTTAGTAATAATATTAATTATTTATTGCGATTAATCGAAAACCGAACCGAACCGACCGGTGGATTTTCGGTTAAAAACCGAACCGAACCGTAAATTTTGGTTCGGTTTTCGGTTATGTAATGGGCAAACCGAATTTTCAATTAACCGAAAATTCGGTCGGTTCAGTTTGGTTTTAACCGAATGAGCAGCACTAAAAGTATCTACACCACAAGATCAAGAAATAACTCTCATTATCCAACAAATCCAATCTTTTAAATTGAGAAATTGTCAGTCAGCTCTCATTAGATTCAATATCCAACAAATCCATCTTTTAAATTGAGAAATTGTCAAGCCCACTACAAATAATCGCGAACAAAATAGGATAAAGTAACGAGTAAATCAAACCAAAACTGATCGTTAGCCCACCGCAGATAATCGCAAAAAAATAGGATAACTCAGAGGGAAATTAACGAGTAAATCAGACCAAAACTGCTAAATGATGATCTAATTCCCATTATCTATCTTCCCATTATCTATCTTAAATTCAGAAATTGAAAACAATTGTCTACCTTATAAGTTCTTTTATCTTTTATATATTATTTTTTATATATATTATTCGTATTTTTTTTGTATATAATATGTATTCATAATAATGTATACTTCTTTATAATATATTAATAATGTTGAATATATGTTATTAAATAAAATAATATTGACATCTCTCTCTATATATATATGGTTAGTAATAGAATAATCTTGACATCTACATGTACGATTTAGATTATACATTCACGATTCACTATAATTTTGTGGATATTGCATAAAATACTTCATCAATCTTCTAATAAATAAAGCATTTGTGATACAAATAACTGTATTATTTCCAATCATATTTTAATAATTTAAATAACTAAATAAGTGTAAGATAATATTTGTCATTAAATTATATATTTGGTAATAAAACAAATATAAAAAAATGAAAATAAAACGTGATTTTATGTAGAGTACAATGTAGCGTGAACTATTTGGAGATGAGTTTGACTATTGATAATGATATGTACAAAATAGCCGGCCATCCGACTTTGATGAAGATGAGAGAAAGTATTTGGGAGAAAAATTATTCCCTTCTAAATTTTATTAAGCAAAAAAACTAAAGGTCACATTACATCAGACCCTATTATATGAAGCAAAAACAAAAAAGCGCAAACACATTTTATATATGAAGAAAGCAACAAGAAAAATACTAACAGAAAATCCCAAATATTAAAACTAGCACAATCTCAAACACCCCCTCAAGTGGGCTGACAAAGAGACGTTGTCATGCCCAACTTGACCACCATAGTGCAGAAAGGAAGACCTCCAAGAGATTTAGTAAACCCATCTGCAACTTGTTGTGATGAAGGAATGTAGCAAGGAGAAAGAAGACCTTCTTTGTATTTGTTCCTCACCAAATGGTAGTCAATTTCCAGGTGCTTAGTACGCTCATGGAAAACTGGATTTTGCACTATGTGAAGTGCTGACTGATTATCACAAAACAAAGGAATAGACAGCTGCACTGGAAGCTGCAAGCCTTGAGCAATGAAAGCCAGCCATTGTAACTCACAGGCTGTAGAACTAAGAGCTCTATATTCTGATTCTGCTGAAGATTTTGAAATTGTAGCCTGCTTCTTGTTTTTCCAGGACACAAGAGAAGAACCAAGGAATATGCAGAACCCAGTTAGTGATCTTCTTATATCAACACAAGCTCCCCAATCAGCATCACAATAAGCTGAGAAATTAAAATCACAAGCAGTTGGATAGAACAGACCCAAAGTAGTAGTTCTCTTTAGGTACCTCAACATATGCATTGCTGCATCCCAATGAGTAGAGTAGGGATCATTGACAAATTGGCTTAACTGCTGTACTGCAAATGAGATATGTGGCCTAGTGAGATTCAAGTACAACAGTCTCCCCACAAGCCTTCTGTACACATCTGCATTGTCCAAAGGAGTTCCATGTTTTCCTTTCAACACCAAACCATGTGGTAAAGGTGTAGCAGCTGTTCTGCTATGTCCCAACTTCAAGTCATTCAATAAATCCATAATATATTTCCTCTGATTCAAATAAGTGTCATGTTCTCCTCTAGCAATTTCAATTCCCAAGAAGAATTTAGCAAATCCTAAGTCTTTAATGGTAAACTTCTTATCCAAATAGCTCTTAAGGCTGTTAATCAAGGTCAAGCTTGGTTCCATGATAAGTACATCATCCACATAAACTAAGAGAGCCAAGAATGTGTCACCACTAGATTTTGTGAACAAGCAATGATCATGTTGTGACTGATGAAAACCAAACAAGAGCAGTTTATCACAAAACTCATGGTTCCACTCCCTAGAGGCTTGTTTAAGCCCATACAAGCTCTTTTTAAGTCTGCATACCTCTCCTTCTTTCTGTTTGTTGTAGCCTTGTGGACAATGCATATAAATTTCTTCCTTTAAACTTCCATGTAGGAAAGCATTATTTATGTCAACTTGACACAAAGGCCACCCCTTTGCTGCACTAATGGCCAAAAACAATCTCACAGTTACCTGCTTGGCTACTGGTGAGAAACAATCTACATAGTCCACTCCATACACTTGATGTAACCCTTGGCTACAAGTCTAGCCTTGTACCTGTCCACAGATCCATCTGCTTTTCTTTTTACGTTGTAAACCCATTTATTGCCTATAGGCTTTTTACCAGGTGGTAATTGCACCAGATCCCAGGTACCATTCTTTTCTAGAGCATCAAGCTCTTGTTGCATGGCCTCAACCCATTTTACATGTGTCTTTGCCTGACAATATGAATTAGGTTCTTGTATACTGGACACATTATGTAAGAATTCAAGGTAACTGGATGTAAAGATATAGTGTTGGTATAAGAAGTTGTAGGTAGGTCTTGAATACCTGATGTGGTTGCCTTGTAGGATTGATCCATAATAGCAGAAGGAAGATGTCAGCTGAAATTACAAGTGATGTAGTCATTAAGCCAAAGTGGTTTTGTTCTGTGTCTAGAAGGTCTAGTCGGAGGATTTTGTGAGGCTGAAGAACTAGGAACAGTCTCAAGAGTTGGTGTATTTGGATGTGAAGGTAAGTCATCACTATCATCAATCAAAAGGATATTTGGCATTGGAACAGACTGAGGCACTTCACTATGCTCATGGTAAGGAAACACATTGTCAAAAAACTTCATATTTATGCTAATCATTATTTTCTCTGTGTCCATATTGAACACCTTGTATCCTTTTCTCCATGACTCAAACCCAAGAAACACACATTTATGTGATCTGTAGTGAATTTGGTTTTATGTGGGTCAACATTAGCTGCAAAAACCAGACAACCAAAGGGCTTTAAAGAAGTATAGTCTGGAACTTTTTCATAGAGGACACCTTTTCCAATGAGGACAGAATTTGGAAGTCTGTTGAGTATATGTGTGGCTGTCAACAAGGATTCAGGCCAAAGATTTAAAGACAATTTTTTTTTTTTTTTGACTAGACAAGGAACTTATATTAAGTGCTCAAAAGAGTATCATTACATACAAGATCCTTAAGACAAGAAGGAAAAGCATCCACCTTCCATAATAAAGGGGAACTTGAAAAAGAAGCAAAAGACGCAATGGCATGAGCAACGATATTTGCCGATCGACGCATATGATAGAGTTGTCTTGTTGTTGCTGATGCTTCAGACAATGCAACGCGGATATCATTAGCCCATGAACGAGTGTAGCCACTAGACTTATTGGTGTCGGTAACTGCTTGTACCGCCAACAATGAGTCCGAGAAGATCTGAACAGGGGTTTGCTTCAGCTCATCACAATGTGCCAAACCCTGTTTGATAGCTAAAAGCTATTATAACTGAGCCGGGATTACTCACTGGCTTACCAAAGGCGAAGAGCGGATTTCCTTGATCATCCCTAGTGATTCCACTGATACCAAATCTACATGCTTTCATGTTAACACAAGCATCAACGTCAAGTCGGACTAAGTGTAATGGTGGAGGCTTCCAGATGAAGTTATTCTCTTGATCTTGGGGCAACTTAGGCTTTCGGCTATCACATAAAGATATTTGGAAATTTTGAATTAAACTCTCGGCATCTTCCACGGGTTGACTGCATTCTTTTGGATTAGGGTGGTGTATCACTCTTTGTCTTTCTTTCCAAACGAGCCAAGAACGCACTGCAAAAACTTCAAATTCTCTCGTAGACATGTTCGTTTGCATCCAGATACATACATCCAACGTTGAGCCGAACTTTGCCGATTTAAGGATATGGTAGAAATCGCAATTTTTCCGCAGTGGCAGAACACGGGGGCAGAAAAATATCGAGTGAGTGGAAGAATCACAATATAAATTACACAGCTTACAACTGAGTATAACTGGAACATGGTGATCTGCTAAATTATGAGTTGATGGGATAAAATCATTTGCAAGTCGCCACCAGAAAGTTCTAATTTTTTGCGGAATTTTTAGCGCCCAAAGAAATCTCCACCATTTTCTCATACGCACCTCGGATTGATTAACTTGAGAGTTGTAAAAACCCATTTCAACCTTGTATCCCTCTCGAACCGAGTACTTTCCTTTTTCATCAAAACACCAATATCGCTCATCCTCTTTATCAGATCCTGGCAGTGGAATTTGGAGAATTTCCTTAGCAATAAAGTGAGGGAATAGAGAAGAGACAAGACTTTCATTCCAGTTACCTTCCAAAAGAAGGTCTTCAACCTTGCAAACTGATGGGAAAGAATGGTGCACAAACGAGAAACATTTGCGTCGAGAGGGGAGCCAAACATCTCGAAATATATCAATTTTATTGCCTCTACCGATCTTCCATACAGATGCTTTGGTAATGATGTCCCTACTACAAACCATAGAACGCCAAATGAAAGAAGGTTTACGTCCCAAAGGAGCAGCTAAAATGTCTGAGTGTCTAAAATAGCGTGCTTTAAGAATTCTGGCCACCAGGGAATCCAGATTTTGAATAATGCGCCAAACCTGCTTAGCTAAAAGAGCTTTATTAAAAGCTGATAGATTCCGAAATCCCATACCTCCCTGACATTTTGGTTTGCTTAAATGATCCCAGCTACATCAAGAAGGTGTTTGTGTTTTCTTTCAACAATCCCATTTTGTTGGGGAGTGTACACACAGGTTCTTTGATGAATAATGCCCAAGGAATGAATATGTTTTGACACTCTTGACTAATGAATTCCATCCCATTATCACTCCTCACAGATTTTATGGTTTTCTGGAATTGATTTTTGATCAAGGCAAAGAATGATGTGAGGGTATGTGGAACTTGTATTTTGCATTTCAAGAGGTATAACCAAGTGGCTCTACTATAGTCATCAACAATGGTTAGGGCATATTTGATCCCTTTAATGTTACCATCACTACAAGGTCCCCAAAGGTCTATATGAATTATGTCAAAAGTTAATGTACTTTTCACAAAAGAAGTGGAAAAAGGTTCTCTATGGTGTTTTGCCCTACAACAAGTTTCACAAGATTTTAATGCAGCAACACCAGAATCAGAAAAATACTCTTCAAAAAGGTCAAATGTTTCAATGTTCTCAAAGAAGCATGTCCCAATAAAATATGCCATTTCTCAAGAGATGTCTTACATGGAAGAATAGAAAAACAATGATTTGGAGTGTGAACAGAAAGTTGTAGAGTTTCAAGAACGTATAGATTTCCTATTATCTTCCCTTCTGCCACCACTTTGCAATCCTCAAGGTCCTGCAATAGGCAATATAAAGGATTGAAAATGCACTGTATCTTGGAATCATGTGCAAGCTGAGAGACAAATAAAAGGTTGAATTTAAAAGAAGGTATGTACAGAACTTCCTTTAAGGTTATGTGATCATTTATTTTAATTTTTCCTGTGTGAATAACCTGTTTAAGTGTCCCATCAGGTAGGTAAACTGCAATAGGTTTGGTTAGAATGGTAAGGTCAAAGATCAATGACTCATTTGTACACATGTGCTTACTTCCAATATCCTCAAACATTGACAATGCAAAATGGAAATTAAGGTCAGCAGTATTACCAGCAAAATTTACTCCTGCTCACATAATGTCTTGATCATCTTTCTGTCTGCTTCCCATCAGCTTCATTAGCTCATGAGCTAAGCTTGACATATCCATTCCCTTTGATGAACCTTTCATGTTATCCACTTGATTAGCATAACCTTTGCTAGTTTTATCCTTGAATTCCTTGTACCAGTTAGGGTAGCCATGGAGTTTAAAACACTCCTTTTGTTCATGTCCATTATATCCACAATGTTCACACACCAGCTGTGCTCTCTCCTCCTTGGATTTTCTAGGAGTTGAACCTCTGCCCCTTGTTATGTAGGTGCCTTGTCCTCTTCCTCTGAACATGTTACCTCTACCTCTCCCAAAATCCTTAGTCTTAACTGCCATTGCTGCAGTATCTGATGAGTCTGGGTAAACATGATGTGCACACTCCTTTTCCTTTCCTCTTGCAGAACTAGTGAATAAGCCTTATTTACATTTGGCAGCTGATCCATAAGTAAGATTTGACTACCAAGTGAATCATATGACTCATTGAGCCCCATACGAAATTGTATCAGCTTATTCCTGGAATCCATTTCCAATAAATCCTTAGAATTGGCACAACCGCACAAAGGCAAATGTGCTAAAGTAGCACACTCATCCCATAACCTATTCAGCTTAGTGAAATACAAGACCACAGAAGATGTGCCTTGTTTGATATTCGAATCTCCTTCTGTAAACTGAACAATAAAGCTGCATTCGACTCTCCAAATATCTGATTTATGATTTCCCATAATTGAAATGCAGAATCAACATAGATGAAACCTTCAACAATCTCAGGCGACATAGAGGCCAAAAGCCAAGAGGTTACCATACAATCGGCTTTCCTCCAGCTGTTGAAGTTCTCTGCATCTTCTGGCGGAGACGAAATTTTGCCGTTGATGAAATCCAGCTTGTTCTTCGCTCCCAGCGCGAGAAGGACAGCTCGCCGCCATGGAAGAAAATTGTTTCCATTCAGTTGAATCGAAACCAAACGTAGACCTGGATGATCGGAGCTCTGCAAGTACATAGGATCTTCGTGCGACATTGCGATCTCGCCTGTCGTGTCTCTTCGGGAAGACGATGCCATGAACGATGGAGATCAAGGCTTCAAGCAATGATGGCTCTGGATACCATGTTGAAGATGAGAGAAAGTATTTTGGGGGAAAAATTATTCCCTTTTGAATTTTCATTAAGCAAAAAAACTAACGGTCACATTACATCAGGCCCTATTTATATGAAGCAAAAACAGAAAAGCGCAAACACGTTTTATATGTGAAGAAAGCAATAGGAAAAATACTAACAAAAAATCCCAAATATTAAAACTAGCACAATCTCAACAGACTTGTCTAAATCATACTTTGAAATGAACACAAACAAAACAGAAAATTATTGGCAATCAAGATGAAACGAGACTAATCAGTTAGTCTCCATCTCCGGCATCAGGACTGCCGTCATCTTTGCCACACAAGCTAGACGTTTGTCAGCCAGAAATTGATGGATTCGCTATGTAGGTAGCCATTAGCGTTATATAATAGGATTATTATAACAGAGAAAGGATTCCACTTCTTCACACTTTCAGGCAGGCTTCCTCGCCCGTTTAAGTACCCTACGGTTGATCAAACCATGTTTGTTTTTTCCTTGGAAATACTTGGGCTGATTGTTTATCAGCTGATTTTGTTTCTTCTCTTTATATCTCATACGTCATTTTGTAGTCGGTTTTTGCTTGTGGACTGAAATTGGCCATTGAAAAATGGACATATATATTTGTAATTAAGTAGAACAAATAATTGAACTATATATTTGTGAAATATTATCCTATCTTGATTATATAAATTAACACAATGGAACATGCATAAATAACACAATGATATTAGAAATATGATTATACAACATTCCATTAACAGAAGTAGGAACAATACGCAGGAACTGAGACTATGACATAAATCCAAATTTTGTACTATACGGTTGAGTTCCAATTATGTTTGAGTTCTTTTCCTCTCTTAGTGTTGTTTAAATATACAGCATCACTTCTTGCTGACCAAACATATTTGCTCCCGTAACTGACAATTAATGAATTTATGGCTAAAAACATCGAATGTCGTATCGTTTGCTCCCCACCAAAAATGGCAAAAGAACAACGTTTTCCCAACAAATTGATCGCAGAAAGACCAATCGAAATCGCCATTCACCGGAAGCTCGTGAAATCCAATGTCGTCGTCCTTGGATTGACAATGCACGTTTAAGAGCGGGGATTCTGGTGGAATATTGTTAACGATCCGAACATGGATCCGGTAAACTAATATACACTTTGTACTTGTAGTGGTAGTTTGTAAGATAAATAAAGAACAACAAATATACTATGGCAATCTTCATGACTCTGTATTGAAGAGAAAAGCAAGTTTTGGAGAAAGGTGTAAGAAGACAAGGATAGAGAATATGTGGTCAATGAAAAAGCTGATCTAAACATCTTGTTCTTTTATAGTTTGAAAGCTAATTGTACAAGTAAATGAAAGTGTACAAATGAAAGCTCTGAAAGTGTGACCAAACAGATTTGAACATATGCCATATTGTATGATAGGAATACTATGCATGAGCATGACACAACCACCTTAATGAAGTTTAGAAAGAAAAAATATAGGTTAAATAATTTTAAAGCGTTTACATTTTGACATGTTCTGTAATTAATATAGAGAGATTCTACGGTCGTGGTTCGTAACCATTAGATCAACTATCCACGATGGTTACATGATGACCTAACGGTTACATTTTCCTTTAATATATATTGGCACACAAATTAATAAGAGAACTTAACCAAGTCAACCCAAGATTGCACACGCAATGGCATACTCACGTAAGAGAACTTAACCAAGTCAGAACCAAGATTGCACACACAATGACACACCAATACAAAAGAATTTGACCAAGTCAGAACCAAGATTTTGTACACATGCACAATGGCACACTCAAAACAAGATAACTTAACCAAGTCGAACCAAGATTTGTTCAATTTAGAGCTTAAAGATCGAAAATTCAGATATTTGTTCAATGGCACATCAGGATTCTCTTGGCTATAACCGGACACAATCTGGACCCTCCAACCATAATCCAATGGGCAACACTCTCAATTATATAGCCCTCTGTAATAAGTAACCGGACACAATCTGGACCCTCCAACCATAGTCCAATGGCCAACACTCTCATTCCCTGGCACCTCGACTGTCACGTTCATGCACGGGGCCCTGAACACATAGTCGTTGTAGTTACCCTCAAACATCACCAGGCACTCGAGCGCCCTCGACTCGGCTTGACCGCATGTCAGCACCGTGCCCAATCTCACGTTCTCGAGGATCCGGTCGTTCTCATCCATGTACGTTGTGGGCCCAAAGCCTTCCCCCGGGGGCGAAGGCTCACACTGGGGCCACACGTTGAATCGCTCGATATCTACGCCGCGGCGCTTCGCCACAACAAACCTAGCACGAACGAGGCCGTGGTCTTGCAAGCGTCGTTGCTCGATTTAAATATATTTTCATCCTTGGTGAGGGAGAGCGCCTCGATTTCGAACGTCGGGAAGTGGGGCTTGCAGCCTACCAATGCAATCCCTACTATTATTATAATTAACATACAGATGCCTAACGTCAGTAGCGACAAATTGTCGTCGTTACAGGACGAGGCTTTGGTGGCTTGGGTGGGTTGTGCTGCCATTGAGTGCAAAAACGTGTGTGTGTGTGTGTGTGTGTGTGTGTGTGTGTGTGTTGAGATAAATAATAATATGTAAAGAGACAGAGGCAGATCGGCATATATAGTGATCTATGATAGTTTGAGTTTGTTGGGTATACAACTCAAAGTCTGATTTGTATTTGGTAACTGACGGAGATAAATATGGGTTTAATAGTCAGCTCATTAACTCAAAGAGATTTCATTTGGTAACCGATTAAGATAAATATGGGTGTCATACTAATCTATATATATATATAGAGATTGCACCCACACACAACTCA